AATGTCGTTTGGCATGGTCTTTGCCAACGGTGTACCTTCATGTTACTGACCACACGTACGTTGAGGATGAGGCACTGAATGTCTAAGAAGACCAACGTCTATTATCAGTCGACATACGATTGGATGCAAATTGCGGGCGTGGAAAAGATCTAACTTCCAGCGGCTGCAACGGACCCTGGTCACATTTTCAGGGTAATCATTCATTCCTAGCACTGTGACTTCTTCGGCTTCACTAACAAACTTTACGTCAATAGCATTGCGGGCTTATGGTTCATGAATAATGATTCGATAATGGTTAGTGCGTGGTAACCACTGGGCCACCTGGCAAACTTCGAAATCGTGTCATGATCTTGACACGAGTATCTTCCTTTGGTGAGCGCACCATTCATCTTCGTGGCTCACTAACCGGATGGGTTTCTACATATCATAATCAGACCTGGAGCGCGCCTCTAGTTCACGAAGTCTTTACAAATGCTGTGCGACTCCCAGTTCAGATTTCAGTGCACGACTTATTATCGTGATGGATTCAATTGAATCACATCGGTTCCTTCCGCGCCTATCAAGGCTACTCATGTGTAATATGTGGGTTTTCGTCCCATTCTAAGTTTTAGCCAGGCATTCATCTATTCAAGCCGTGCTAATATTTGACCAGGTATGTACTGCGTCGGAATTTCGCATGCCTCCAATTCATTTGAGTCACTAGTAACTAACCATATAAGAGGAAGATAGTAGTTCCTTCTTGATAATGAGCCCTCGTACGTCCATCTTCCAACTACTATGTCTGAGATACACGTAGAGGTCGAAAAACTTGACAGCAACAAGGTGTCTGTTCATCCGCACGCCGCGCTCTTTAAACGTCCGACAGGATGGAGGAGGTACTACTACCACCCCATCACCCAAGTGTCGATGTTGGGATTCGTGTGTTTCTTGGGCCCCGGCATCTTCATTGCACTGACTGGTCTCGGTGGCGGAGGCCAAGTCAACAGTAAAGTCCAAGCTAACGCCAGCGCGATTTTGTATGCGACTTTTGCATTTTTTGGATTATTCTCCGGGTGAGTTCAATAACTTCAATTAGGTCGTCGATTTGACCCATGGCGACTCATGTCGTTGCAGTTCCATTAACAATGTCCTCGGCCCTCGGTGGACTCTGATACTTGGAACGTTGGGCTACTCGTTGTATATTGCTTCGTTCCTGTATGATGACTCGTACCTCGATCCTGTGATGTTACTGAAATGTTGCACTTCAGTGTTATCAACATCCATCCTGACGCGAGTGCTTTCGTTATCGCCGCCGGTGCCATCCTTGGTATCTGTGCAGCTTTGCTTTGGACCGCGCAGGGTTCTTTGATGATGGCGTACCCCACAGAGGCTCAGAAGGGCACGTTCATCTCTATCTTTTGGACAATCTTCAATCTTGGAGGGGTCATGGGTTCTGCTGTAGCATTTGGAACCAGTTTCAATCGTACCGTGAGTGATATATATGTTACGTTTGTGAATAGAAAGACGTGCTCATGTCCTCCACCGTCAGACCAACAGTGGTAAGCATATTGTGGCTATGACTGACCGCGGAGCTGATTGATCTTGTCATCTTAGTTGGCAATGGCACATATGTATGTCTTTTGATAATCTCTTGTTACCAGTGATTGACACTAAACTAGGTTGGCTTCCTGATTTTGACCCTCGTCGGCGTATTCCTCCCACTATTGATGGCAAACCCAAACAAGGTGATTCGTACGGACGGGACTCACGTGAATCAGGTCAGCTACCCATCGTGGAAGACGGAGGTGTCCCGCTTGTACGTGGCGCTTAAGACCGACCCTTGGATTATCTTCCTCTTCCCGATGTTCTTTGCCAGTAACTACTGCTTTACCTGGGGTTCGTCACGGTACTGTTCTTTGGATCAGCGTGGTCGCTGATATGTTGCGCAGAATACAATAATTACAACGGCGCGATATTTACTATCCGTGCTCGCGCCCTGAATAGCTTGATGTCCTATACGTCGCAGGTCTTTGGATCTATCTTCCTCGGTTACTTTATTCTTGACCAGAAAAGGGTCCGGCGTAGAGTCCGTGCCCTCTACGGCTGGAGCCTCGTATTCTTTGTGGTTTTCGCTTCCCACGTCTGGGCATATTTCTACCAGAAGTATGTCATCCTGCAATACCACAGGCTCAGATTACAATGGAAGTGTCCCTTAGGACATATACCCGCGCTGAAGCCATGAAGGATGCTTACAAGATCGACATCATAGACGGAACCTATGTTGCACATGTCTGGGTCATGATAGTCCATGGCTTGCTGGATTCAATGTTGCAGACATATGCATACTGGCTAATAGGCGCGATGTCGAACGACCCTGCCAAGCTGGCCGTGTTTACTGGGTTCTGCGCGTATTAACTTTGTAAGTTCGAGTTAAATACTGATCAAGCACCATACAGATAAGTCCCTGCAATCAGCGGGTGCGGCAGGCGCATGGAGTGCTGATGCTGCTGGAATCCCGTGAGTTCCTCAATCCTTTGTGTGAACAAATCACTGGACCAGCACTTCAGATATATGAACATCTTCCTATCGACTTGGTGCCTAATGGTCGGCAGCATGATCTTTGCCGCACCAATGGTATACCTTCGCGTTACCGATCATACGGACGTAGAGGATGAGACTGTGAGTACCCCCACTCCAGGGGTGGAGTAGCGCCGCATAGTTTAGTCAGTTACCTTCGGGCTTTGTCGTAGCGTAGTGCTTTTCACCACTTCTTGGACACGCATGCACAGTCGCGGTTACATTGCTCAGCGCTCCACCATGATTGCCAATATAATGCACCTGTCACTAGTGTTGATGTCCACTACAGTGTGCGAGTCGCAAACGTAGAAAGTATTAGGACTTGTCAGATTGACTCGCCACTGATTAAGTCTTAAAATGTACAGTAACTGACAAGCACAAAAGAGTACGAACGCTCTAATCAAGTCGGTTTGCCATTTTAAGCGGGTCGACAGTCATAGCGCATTCGTCGTGTAACCTCAGAAATCATCTGGAGCGCCAAACGTTCCTCCTTTCGTCTTGAACGCCCCTCTCTTCCCACCTCTCTTCCCACCTCTCCCTCGGGAAGTGGTGCTCGAAGACTTTGAAGCTCTTGAAGTAGATTTTGGGCGCTTTGATGGCCCAGGCCCACCACTATCAGGACATTCTGTCATATTATGAATGAATGGGACGTCCATGTACAGATGCGGCACCATACCAGAAGTCCAATGCCCTGTCTGTCCACACTTGAAGCACGCATCACCGGACGCTGATCCTCCCGCCTTTGCTGCAGGCCTCGATCGACTAGTCCTGTCACCATTTGGACATGCTAAATGTATTTAGCAACCTCTAACAGCACATAATTTTACTGTTACTCACCAGACGCCCAATGGCCTTCTTGATCACACTACATGTAAGGTTAGCGTCTCGAGGCTTTGTCTTTACGTGTGCACACAAACCTTGAAGCACTTCCCGCTACCGGAAGTTGAATCATTTTGGGTTGCTGATCGAGACGACATGGGACGTGGACCAGCAGCGCTCTTAGGTTTAGGTGTTTCATCGTCCCACTCGAAGAATGCACACCCCCCATCCTTTCCTTTGGGACATCCCCAGAATATTCGTCCTTTATTTGGCCCCTCCTTATTGACAGTACGCCGTGCCGCGTCTTCACGACATTGACATTGACGTGCAACGGCGTCGACCTGATTAAGCTCACACAGCTCTGTATGAAACAAGATGTAGAACAAAACATGAACTCACTGAACGTTCGCTAGCCAATGCGCGCTTGGCCGGGACAAGCGGCGTGGGATTCGCTGGCATACCAATCGATCCGTCGTCGCACCATTTGAAAAACCCACATCCGTCACCGACTCCGCAGGCATAGAACTGCTTGCCTTCACGAGCTGACTTCTGTGTGACTGTTTTGCGCTGAGATGGAATACCACATTCACATTCGGGGGTCATGCTTGAAGAAGGCAAGGGGTTGGGTCGGGGAGCAGTTGTCGGGGTAATAACCCTCGAGGATGTAGGTTTACTCCCAGAAGAAGTTGTCCGCGAGACAGGAGCACTGGGCTTTGATGTCACATTGGATGCTCGTGAACGACTTCGAGGTGGCGAGGGAGGCGGAGGCATATCATCATTCGAATCTAGAGAACCATATCAATTATCATCTCTCATAACGTAAATTTACATACCATCAATGTCGTTGGAAGGTGGCGGTGGGGCGGCCCTAGCGGCACCTCGTCCACGGCCTCTCGGTGCTGGAGCTGCAGCGCCCCGTCCGCGTCCTCGCCCTCGACCGCGGCCACGGCCGGCACCTCCTGGTGGGGGTCCTCCATTGTCGTTATCATTATCATCATTATTTCCGCGACCGGCACCCCTTCCTGCGCCTGCACCTCTACCCCTTCCACCGCCGCCACCGCCGCCACCATTGCCACCGCCACCACCCTGGTTCGCCCCTGCGTTACGTTCAATGTACCTGCGCACGCTCTAAAGTGCATTGTGAACGAGACGACAACAGTGTGTAAACCAGACCACCTACAGATACAACCTTATCGAACTCTCTCTTTGCGAGAACATACATCTCCCTGTATTGTTCGATGCTTTCGGTGAGCATCTCTCCTTTAGATTTCGTGCCCTCGCAAACTCGAACCATGCCGCGTTCGGTTTCACGCCTGAGCTGCGGCTTTGATAAGCTTCTTTCAAACCCAATTTCATTATATCCTTCTATAAGCCCAATTCCAAGCGTCGAGGGCATGAGATGTTTTGTTGCACCATCCATGCGTTCAATGACATATTCCCGGTCGATAATCGTCTGGATGTGCTGAGCAATCGTAGCATCAGTGCCTGCGGAATAATAGATGATCAGAATGGGGCGAATATCGTCCTATGTGGAAACCTACCAATGCCGTTCTTGTCCATGAGGGTAACCAAGTCCGCCTCAGTGAGGAGAGACGGCGAGGAAGTTTGACCGTCCTTGATTTCGCATACCGTAGGTACAAACTGCTCTCCTTCCTGAAAGTTCGGTATCTCTTTTGCCGACCACTTGTCATATGGGTATACTTCAAGGTAATTTCTCTGAAGGACAATCAATCCTACGAGGGTGTGAACGTGAGTCTGAATCGCAGCAGAGGTACTCACCGGTTGCATTAAACTCTTCACCACCATAATCTACTTGTACAATTGTCTCTTTGCCTTCCGCATCCTTGCTACAGCTTGCAAGAAAACGCCGAGTTATGAATTCGTATACCTTCTTCTCGTCACCAGCAAGATTCCCTGCATGAGCAGTGGGGTGAATGGGCGGGTGAGCCTTGTCGTTGTTTTTGCCCCGTCTTGGAGTATTGAAATTGCCCTCATGTAGGCTGGGCATGTATAAGTCTGGCGTTCACAAAAAAACCTTGGGAAGCATACCCAGTGGCGAATCCTCCCCAAGCAGGATCGGCGGTTTGCTTCTCGATGAGTGTCATAAAATTGAACTGAGGATCGTATTGGTCCGTTTCTGTGCGTGGATATGACAAAAAACCTTGTTGGTAAAGCTTCTCCGCAATCTGGTGAATATGACCACGGTCAGATGGAAAGAAAGAAGCGCCTAGATCTCGATTCAGCTCACATCGAGGACCTTCTTGGGAGCAAGCTTTAATAATCTGGATCCTGCTTTCTGTAGCTCTACGGTTGTCAATGGGAGTGGTTTGCTAGGATGTTCAGCCCGGTCTAGAAAGATTCAAACAAATAAGAAGACTCACTATTTTTTGACATCTTTCTGTGTCACTTTCACCACTCTAGCAGTGGGACTCTGCAAAATCTCCTCGTGTATCTCAGCAACGAGATCGGATTCGAATAAGTGACCCCTTTTCCAGTTAAAGTCGACCTTCTTATCATCACGATCCACAGAAAGGTTGATATACCAGAAGTCTTCCGGAACGAAGGACTTGACTTGATTGTATCTTTGGACGACAAACCCGAGCGTTGGAAATTGACAGGGACCTGCTCGGAAATGTGTCATGAAAAGACAAGTGGCTCGATGACGAACGAACCATACGAGACGACTTCTCTCTTTTCACGAAATTGGGCGAGCCGTGTCTGCAGTGTAAGAGTTTGCATACGTGTGAATGCGGCACCTATTCTCAGGTCAAGGAAAATGCGCGCCTCGACGGCATGGGCCTGAGCCATGTCAAGGTCAACAGGGTGCTGAGCAGCACGATGAATTTGCCTGGGGTCATGAACATTTGTTAGTGAAAAAACTCTGGCCGAGAATCAGATACTCACTGGGGAATGATGGCACTAAATCTAGCTCTCTTCACAACGATTTGTGGACGTGATTTCCTGCATACCTTAGCAATCTCGCTCCCGATGTTCTCTCCTTCGCGATCACAATCTGTCCAAATCATGAGGGTATCCGCTCGACGCGCTTCAGTCAAGAGATTGCGTTCGATACTCTTGTTGTCTGCGGGTACTGAGGTGTGAATGGGCGCATCGAACAGTGTAATAGGGTCACAAGAATTCCACTGCCTGTACTCCTCTGGAAAGTCGTGGGCAAGCAAATGACCACAGACGGCGGTTACTGTAAATTGTGAGTTGGTTTGTGGGTAATCGAAATCAAAATTCTTGATGAATCTGTTAGACGTTGGACGCTGGAAGCAAAATGTACGGATTTGAGAATGTTGGTACGTAATAATCTCTGGCTTACTGTTTCCAGACGACCACCAGAGAGAATTGAGCTGATTGAACGAGCTATAGAAGGTTTTTCTGCCACACAAAGAACTCGCATGCTGTAGTTGAAGAATGATTCTGCGTGAAGAGTGTGGAAAAGCCTGGTCCTTAATTTGTCGAACTGGGTCGTTTAGCTTTAGAACGGAATTACCGGGATAAATCCAGGTTTGATTGGCAGACGTGCTCACGAGAAACGATGCTGCTCTCCGAGGCCCGAGCCCCACTTTGAACGGACAAAACGCGACACGGGCAGCACGCGTCGCGAGTTGAGACTCCGCGAAGCACGTGCCAGCGCCAATCAAAACTTCTACATCGTCCTTTCCAGCACAGCATCGTCGAAATCAAGGCATTATGCATTATGTCTCAATCATTCAAATGCATTTTTGCCACCGCTGGGTCAAGTATTTCTGTGACCAATACATCACAATCGAGGTCCCATGGACGATATGTTGACTCGACGGTAATGCAGGGCCTGGATCAGTTTTATCATGCCAACCTGACGTTGATATTGAAAGAAGCACCGTGAAAAAAACGCGTCCCCTGTCAAGAAGACACGGTCAGAAGCGGATTTCTCTCACCATGTGGCTATTGAAAATTTGCGATGCTTTCAAACTGGCACTCAAGAATATTCTTTTCGATCTTCACAATGTTGAATGTCCCATGTCACGGACCAAGATGCGACCAACCGTGATCCCTTTCCACCCAGTGGAACTGCCGCAGGACTATGTTTGGTCCTATTGCATCGATAAGATCAGTAGCACCACTACTGGTACTGAACTCTATGAATCAATCTAATCGATTTTGAAGTTTGTCTGAAATGGTACCAAATTGCGTACATTTGCAATGTGAATTGGTTGTGCATCTTGCCGATACAACCGCAGTTTCTGCACCAGGATGAATACTTCACAAGCATCAAGCAACAATCACATCCAGGGCAAATATTTACGGTGCTACTTGATCGATCAATCCCTGAAAGGCTCATCCAGGTTATCTTGCCCATTGATGATAACTTCTTGCAGTCACCATACCCATACCGCTGCATCGTTTCCTGATTTCTATGCTAGGTTCTCTTATATTCACGCGTGCAGGTGAATACTGGCTCTAAAAGGCCCCATGGTTGCGCCAGGGGCAACCAATCATCCCATGATATCCAGTTGAATCCACATATGAAAACTCCGCATAGAACCCCATTATGGTGAGGACTGCATCACTTCCTGTCCCTAATTTCAGTGACCATACGTTTGGATTCTAGAGTTACGATGAGGATGATGGCACGGTCTACATTGTAGTCCAGCTCATTCTTCGTCATACGTAACACTCGCCATTTGCAATGACTACATAGCTGCTAAACCAATTTGTTTAGTGGATGAAGCTAACCATCACAGTAATCTTCATCTTGTTGGACTATTCTATCACTCCCTACCATCGTCGCATGTCGCTGAAAGTGACTGGTTGTAG